CGTCGGTGTGGTATGTGTGTGTGCAGCGCGTGGTCTTGTGTGTGTGACTGTCGTGCGTACATGTGTGTGGCCTGTGTCTGTGTTCTGTGCCGTGTACGTGGCTGTGTGATGTGTGTTCGTGCGTGTGCGCGTAGGCTCCCGTGCGTCGCGCACGTGCCGTTTGCGTGGTTGTTTGTGCGTGTGTGCTTCGTGCGCGCATGCTGTTTCTGTCTACCTGCGTGCCATGTGCATGTGTTGTGATTGTGTGTGTATGTGCGTGCGTGCGTTTTTCGTGGTTGTGGTGCTGTGTTCTGTGTTTCTGTGCCGCGGTGCGTACTGTGTGCGCCCGTGATTGCTGTTCTGCGCGCGCTGCGTCTGTGTGCGCGCGCGTGCGTTTCTGTGTGCTGTCACGTCGCGCGCGTGTGTGTGCATCATGTGCTGTTTGTGTGAGTTTGTGTGTGTGTGTGCTGTGTGTGATTTGTGTGTGTGTGATGTGTGTGTGTGTGCTGTGTCGTGTGTGTCGTGCTGCGTGGTGTGTGCTGTGTTGGTGGTGTCCTGTGTTAGCTGTGTGCTGTTGTGTAGTCCGGGTCCAGGTCCGGGTTTTATGCAGGTTTTTCGCGGTCCGGTCCGCTCGGTCCGGGGTCGCGCGTCACAGGGCCGCGTTTTATGCCGATTTTCGCGGCGTCGGGTCCAGGGTCCGGGCGGGTCCGGTATTTATTCAACACCCAAAATTATGACACTCTAGTGCCGAACTTCGCGCGAAAAAAAAATGCAAAAAAAAAGCCTTTTCCTTAAACCAAATCTGCGGAGCCTGTTGCTCATAGGGTCTAATGTCCCCAGTGTACTGCCGCGAACGTACCGTGGGCTACGTGCGATATACCGCAACGTACCCTGCATGGTCACTATTTGATATGCGTTAAGTATAGGGGTAGATTAGAGTTAGGTTAGGGCAGTAGGCGTAGGCCAACTCCCATAGAACTCCCGTATAGTCGAGTAGGCGAGGTACGGTCCGCCATAGTTAATTTAGATCAGTAACCAGGGTACGTTTCCGGTAACCGACCGTCACCCAGGATACGCTCCGCAGTACCTAAGGACATCTAGACCTCTCAGCCTTCTGCGTTGTCATGCCCACGCCGTGCCAGCTTTATATTGGGGGCGGGGTTTGTTTTTAAAATTTGGCAATTTGTGAGCCGGCGCGAAGCGAACGAGCGACGCGAGCAGACGCGACCGAGCAGGCGGGAGGCGGGTGCGCAAGGGGCGTACGGTCCCCCCTCCCACACGATGGAGAGTGTGCAATTATACTCTGAAATGGAGCGATCATGGTGCATTACCTGAGAGGGAAATTCCGTGCAAATTTCAAAATGGAAAAAACTAATTTAATTTATTTATTTGCTCGGTGGGGGCCACACAAGCCACCGCGCCACACCGCGTTTGTAGCGAACCCCCGAACCCCCGAACCCCCCCCCCCCTGGCTACGAGCCTGACTATGGCCTATACTGTTGACCTATGCCTGTGATGCGTCTCATGGTCTATACCAAGAGCGCTTTTACCTTCTTTATAGTACGCTCTTGTCTATACTAATATCAGGGGTTAATAATGACATTGTTGCACATGAATGAAATAATGACATGACTGCTGGTACTATCTTATATGCCGGACCGTACCTCGCCTACTCCACTAACGAATTTAGGGAGTCGCCTACGCCATACCCCCAAACCCTAACCCTAACCCCAACCATATCCAGATGTATCCAGCGCGTACGTTTCCGGTATACCGGACCGTACCCAGGGTACGTACCGGCAGTACCCTGGGAGACATAGACCCTATGAGCATTATTAACCCCTGCTAATATCAAGAGCTAATAATAATGGATGTGAATATAAGGATGAATAATAATCAGGAGTGAATAATAATATCTATATCTATAGCGATCTAGAGATAGAGATCTATTATTATTCACTCCTGATAATTATTATTATTAGCTCTATAGGTATTATATTAGCTCTTGCCAATATTTATGTCAACAGGATCAATCTACATCTAATCTATCTAATCTATCTATCTTATCTATCCTAGTCTATCTACTCTATCATATCCTATCTATCTATCTATCTTATCCTATCTATCTATCTATCTATCTATCTAGTCTATCTATCATAGTCTATCTATCTATCTAATCTATCTATTTATCTATCCTATCTATCCTATCTATCCTATCTATCCTATCTATCTATCTATCATCATATCGAAATCTATCTATCTACTCCTATCTATCTATCTATCTAGTCTATCTACTATCCTATCTAATCGATCTATTAGCACGATAGTACATCTATCGAGATATCTAGCATATATCTATCTGACACTATCATCTATATATAGTATTTTATCTGAATATCGAATCGAATGAAATGCTATCTGATAAGCAGAACCCATGCGCAGTAGCAGATGCATCCATCCATCCATCCATCCACAATTTTTTCCATCCATCCATCCATCCATCCATCCATCCATCAGATCATCACATTCATCCGAGTGCCAACGCACTCCGATGTCAGCATCTCATGCGAGTCCATCCCATCCATCACCATCCATCCATCCATCCATCCATCCATTCCATCCATCCATCCATCCATCATCCAATCCATCCCATCCAATCCATCCATCCATCCATCCATCCAATCCATCCATCCATCCATCCATCCATCCATCCATCCATCCATCCATCCATCCCATCCAATCCATCCATCCACTCCATCCATCCATCCATCCATCGCAGTCAGCCATCCATCCATCCATCCATCCATCCATTGCGCTATGCCGCGTATGCCCGCTCAGTCCAAGTTGTTCCATCCACCATCCATCCACTCCATCCATCCATCCATCCATATAGCTACTCTATCCATCAATCTATCTATCTATCTATCTATTCTATCCTATCTAGCTATCATATCTACTCTATCTACTCTATGCTATCCTATCTATCTATCTATACCTATCATATCTACTCTATTTCTATCTACCTCTACTCTAATCTATCTATCTATCTATCATAATCTATACTAATCTATCTCATCTATTGGCTATCGTGTATTCTACTATCTATTCTATCCTATCAATCTATTCATATCTTATCTATCTATACTATCATATCTATTTCTATCCCTATCTATCTATTTATCTATCTATTATATATCTATCTATCTATCTATCTATCTATCTATCTATCTATCTATCTATCTATCTATCTATCTATCTATCTATCTATCTATCTATCTATCTATCTATCTACCGAACTATTGACGTAGTATTGGACATAATTAGTGTATAATTAGTATAATATGTGTTTAAATCTGTTTATTTACATTTCGGTATGCATGTGATGCTTCATTTGACCAAAGATATCCGTATATGAATACAGCTACAATTATATATTAGGAGTTCATATTAAAAGTGCCTCTCCGTAACAGAATATGTAAATGTTGTAATTACCTCCGCCAAGGGGTTGGCAGGAGGTTATGTTTTCACCGGCGTGTGTTTGACTGTTTGTGGGTTTGTGTACAGCATAACTGAAAAAGTTATGGACGGATTGTCATAATATTTTCAGGATAAGTCAGAAATCGCCTAATTACTTAGAATTGATTACTTCTAATTACTTAGAATTGATAAAATTTTGGTGGTGATCCGGATCCAATTAAATATTTAATTAATTAATTAATTAATTAAATTTTTCACTTAATTAATTAAATAATAAATCAAAATTTTCACAGTGAGAGAATTCAGCTGCCTTGGCGGAGGTATGTGCTCTCCGAGTGCTCTAGTTTGAACATATAATTGTTATACCCCGTACAGACTGCAAATTTGATACCACCTTAAACTAGTCCGGGCCTGACGCGCGCTAAAGTTTTGCAATGTGTTCAGAGGCTATCCAGCGCTAAATACGCACTAGGGCCTAGTCTGGACTAATTTGCCCCCACAAATGGAGGTAGGCCAGGCCACTTAGAAGCGTGCTAAGTTAGACCGTGCTTATAGTTTAGTCCGCGCTAAACTGCGTGTGTACTCAATCCGGTTCCAGACCCGCGCTAAATTTTGCAGTACGCATGCGCATAGCTTTATTTGGGTCACATGAAAGTACGGTACCTGCGTCTCTGCTGAGTGGCGTAACAAGCTAAACTGAGCATGAGCAGTCAACCCGTGCTAAATTAGCGCGGTTCAACATTTTGTGTCTGTACGCTGCGATTTACCTCACGCCTGGCTAGTTTGATGTGGGATCAAATTTGTAGTCTGTACGGGGTATTAGATATATACTCATGAAAGTCTTTCAACGAAAATATAAAGAAATATGTTGAATTTCAAGACTGCATAAAACGATATAATAATTCCGCCAATGACCTCGGAATTACTATCAACCCCGACCTGCATTGCAACCCCGATATTTGTATAAAAAAAGTCTTGCACTATATTCATTTTGTTGATTTCTAACAGAAAGCATGTCCCTGCTTTATATGACGGTACTTGAGATATATAATATAGGGGGCCTATCAATATTATATTGTATATTAATTATGTAATCACACACGCATGCACGCACGCACATATATTAATTGTGTAATCACGCACGCACGCGCGCACACGTATTATAATATACAAGAAATAGCGGCTATAGGAGAACTCTTTAGATTCATGAACACTATATACATCCACGCGTACCTATACACTCCGTCACATATATGTCTCTAATACGTGAACATATCATAAGCGTGCATACGTCGATATCACGTTGGTAACTGTCACTGACTGCCTGCCATTCCCTCACCAACAAGCACCCTCACCCCAGCATGCGATCGCCTGAATCCGTGGGACTGACAGAGGTGCCCTGCGCGCCATTTTATTACCCAACGCCATCTTCATCTTGTTCGCCTAACGACCGTTGTCACTTTCAGCCAGTAAAAGAAACATCGCACGCAATCTCCAAACTAACTGTTTTTTTAACGAAACGCTCTTCTATATTTTTAGGGTGTAGCGAACGTGTGGCGTTTCCGTAAATCGTCAGAGACCGTACGAAGAGATCGTCGGCATGGCTCCGAAACGGTTTGAGGTCGTTGTTCTGTCGCCCGTTACAGGAATGTTTGCTTCGGTCGGACAGAATCCCGTTGAGTTACCAAGAATCGATGCCGGAGCAGTCTTGAAAGGCAAAGTCGTGATCGAACTCGAAAAGCCGCTCAATGTGAAAGGTAGGCAGTGAAACGACAATTGGAGTTTGTTAATAATATGGGCGATGTATTTTGACGCATGTGAAATATGTAAAATTGTAGCAAAATTGTGCTCATTGCTGATTTCATAGAAAATAACTGGGGCGAATTACAAATACATTGTGAATGCGGCGTAAGACTATTAATGTTCACCTGTAAGGCCGTGTAACATATTCATACACACAATCATTATTTTACGCCGTGAGATGAAAAAAAACAAATTAACCGGCTATAGCCGACTATAGCAGATTTATTTCGTATCAGGAGTAGTCATCCAGATACTCGGAGAGTCTTCGGTGCGATGGACACACGTCGAAAAACGGGTTAGCGGGAAGAGCGTTCCTACGCAGACATCAACGTTCACAAATAACGAAGTCTACATTAACTCAAAGGGCCAGCTGTTCAAAGGCAAGCTAGTTTCTATACGTTCCGGTTCAAAATGCCATTTTCCCTGATCGTTGAAGTCAATAATCTTCCTCGTCTGTGTTAAAATTGTTTGCAATTACAGTACTATTCAGCATTCCGTGACAGGTATCTTAAAATATGCTATAACAAACAATAAATAATGAACCGGCGCATTTCCGTATCACTGACACGAATTATATGAGATTAATTATAGACGTATGGGACTGTGCACGCATTCACGTGCACTCATGTTTATATTCGCGCACTTACACGTACGGACGCGCCTAGATTATAAGTAACGTACATGTGATTCTAGGTTGTCTACATGCGAAAATGGCGGAATTGTAGGTAATCCTACTTTATTTAGCTTAGGATTATAGAACGTAAGTATAGAGACCGCGTGTTAGGATGACGTTCGTACAGATGGATTTCAAAACGTCCGCATATAGAGAGATGACGCGCTAGTACAGCGTGGTGATTCGGTGATAGTTTTGGGTCGACGCTACCGCTGCTGTTGCTACAGGTGACGATATTGACGGCAAAGAGCTGGAGGTCGGCACCCATTCCTTCCCGTTTCTTGTTGAGCTGCCTAGCGACCTCCCGCCGAACTTCTCCGACGTACACGGAAGCGTCACCTACCTATGCATCGCCACCATCGAGCTCCATCTGCTGAGCGACATCGTCACCGAGAGCACGTTTCTCGTAAGATCTCGCGACGAGTTCCTCAACATCGACAAAGTGCCGGAGGCTCAGGTATGATCGCGGCGGCCTCTGGCGATAGCAACCCGCGCGGTAAGGCGCAGGTGCAGAGGCAGTGAAGAAGAGAAAGGGGAAGAAGATGAAGGGCGGTGGCGATTTAGAGAGAAAGGGTGGGAGGAATGGGAAGAAAGGGACAGGGAGTGAAAGGACAGGAACAGCGGCAAAGAGTGGGACAGAGAAAAGGGAAGAGATATGCGAGAGGAGCGAGAGAGGACGAGGACGAGAGAAAGATAGATGGGGATAAACAAAGAGGGACAGAGCGGGGAGAGGCAATGAGGTAGCAAGGTCGAAGGTGAGAGGGGCGCAGTTACAGACGCCAGGACTACGAAGTCTGGCGCAGTGCTATATCTTACAGGTACGCGCAGATGCTTCGATTGTATCCGTGTACTGTGGGTAATTGTGTGTAATTGCGTCTAGCGACATAGATAACGAGTTAGCGAATAACTGCCGGAATTCCTAGCGTAAAGCGCATACGTACTCAAAATAGGCAGGGGTATGTCCTGTGGAGATGTGCATGGCAAAATCCGCCACAAAATTTACACTTCATCGCAGCATCCCGCCACAATCCTTTTCCTATGCTAATGTACGTAGGAATGGCGATAGCGTCGCCGGTCGGGCTGCCAGCCAAGATAATTTATTTCGGCCAAACTTATAGGCTATATGTGGTATGTCTAGCGGAACCAGCATAACCTGCTGATCACCTAACGATACCGTTTTGTACATGGTCTCTCTAGAGGTAGGTAGATCCGTTCTCCCCGATATTCTCTAGTTCCCTGTCGATAATGGTTTTTCGTATTGGCAAGGTAGATCCATTCATCTCACGTTCTTCTCTAGGTCGGGGCTGAGGATGGCGATGCGGAGATGGTATGCTGCGGATGCTGCTCGTCGGGACCGGTGGCACTGCATATGCTGATGAAGGGAGGCGCTGCAGCCGGCGACGAAATATACGTGGATGTTGATATCGTTAACGATAGCTTTCGGCCTGTGACGGAATGCAATATGACACTCTCTAGGGTAAGGATCGACGCTAAAAGGTTTATTCACGGCAAGCCCGTTAATACGTGACTACATCCAAACCTGCTAGTCAAGTAAATATTAGTTAAACGAATATAATCAAATAAAATGCCGCGTTTATAACGTGAGTACTCTCAAAATAAAATGTATCGCTGTCGCCTTGGAAAAATAACTTGGTCAGAGAATTAACTAACTAGCTAACTAGCTATAGCTAGATAAAATATATTAGTTAAAAATGAAATATTTATGCTTTAGAATATTTTTTCCATCGGAAAAGGTGTGTATGTGAGTTCATTGCGAACGTTGAAAGCTCTAGGCAAAAACAACGGTAAAATAAAGAGTGTCATACAATAAATTTAAATCAGAGAATCGTAAAGCTAAAAAAACGATCGTTCAACGGCTGTTATTTTCTACATAACATACATTATTGATTGCCGAGTACACTCAGCGTACCATACATAGTTCAAACGTATTCCACCAGGTGTCCCGATTTCGCACCAAGGGTGGCAAAGTGAAACGAAGTTCGATCGATTTGATCGAGGTATCTCTTCTGAAAGAAGAGGTCCATGGCAACCAGTCGGCGGCATTACGAAAACCTCTGAAAATTCCTATCGATGCAAGACCAAGCGGCTTCTTACGGGCCTGCACTATCATCGAAGTCGGCTATATGCTTGAGGTAAGAGCGCATGCATCTCTGCTCGCTCTCGCTCTCTCTCTCTCTCTCTCTCTATACATAGAAGTGAATGGCCTTGTCGGTCTGTGCCCCCCTTTTTTTTAATCAAAACTGGACTCGGACTCGGACTCGGACTCGGGTGGTGTGGACTCGGACTCGGGTGGTGCGGACTCGGACTCGGACTCGGACACGGACTCGGACTCGGGGAGTGCGGACTCGGACTCGGACTCGGACTCGGGGGGTGCGGACTCGACTACAACACTGCTAGGGGGCCTATTATTTTTCGTGGGAACGCACATGGGGTAATACCGGCATATATAGTGACCCCCCCCCCCCCGGGAGCCCAGACTAGTCACGTTGGGAATTTCCGCTATCGCGTAATTTAAAGAAAAACCATGAAATGTTCATATCTAAAGAACTACACCAGATAGAGTAATGTTCCATACATACTTGGGGTCTAAATACAATATTATCGCCGTTATTTACAAAAAAGTGTATTTTCTGGCAGCCATTTTGGATTTTGTGCTCTAGAAAAAAATGCTCAACACTTACGAGCTGGCATACATCAGATTTGGCATCAGCACCCTAACATCGACCAGAAATAGCAAAAAAACATTATAATATGTCGAAAAACAAGCTTATACACTATTAATATTATGACCATTACGCCTAGCCTGGACTATAAGATCCACTCACCTGGTGCAAGGATAAGTACCGTCGCGAGGATAAGTACCGTCCGTGTCGTTATTGTTGTTGACGTCGGCCCTGTGAGCACACCGCACACACCCTGGAACCTATAGGCTATGCACATGGCGATACTAGCGCCACCGCTTGTATTGCAACGTCGGTCCATGGTCAGCTATAGCCATATAGGTGGTGAACAACAGTAGAGGGCACAAAGGCAATAGTCCATAGGCAGCAAGCCTGAATAAGCATCGAACAGAAATTAATTAAAAATACTCACACTGTTACATCTCTTACAAAACATACACGTTATTCATGTTAAATAACTACAGATTAATGCTCTATATGCTCCACTCGAACCTTTTGACAGCTCTATGATGCGAATTTCTGCAAAGTTGTCTGAACACATTTCAAACACAAACCAATTCAAAAAACCATTTCCAACAAAAACAAAACAATCGTGGCTACGCCACCTGACGGAATGTCACGAATACACAACAAGACCAATTTTACTTTTAGTTTTAATGCTTTCTAGACGTTCACGAGACATTTAACCTGCGTGCATAATGATCCATGATGCAAATGTAGTGTGTGCGCGCGTGCGTGCGCACGTGCAGGGTATGCGTTTTTGCGTGGTTGTGTCGGTGTATTGGGAGGGGGGGGCGTGCGTGCGTAGTATGTGTGTGTATCTGTGCGTGTCACGTGTGCGTTTTTGCGTGGTGGTGGTATGTGTGTGTGCGCGCGTGTGTTTGTGTGTGTGTGTGCGTGCGTACATGTGTGTGTGTGTGTCTGTGTCTGTGCGTGTACGTGCGTGTGTGTGTGTGTGTTCGTGCGTGTGCGCGTGCGTGCGTGCGCACGTGCGTTTTTGCGTGGTTGTTTGTGCGTGTGTCTGTGTGCGCGCATGTGTTTCTGTGTACGTGCGTGCATGTGCATGTGTTGTGTGTGTGTGTATGTGCGTGCGTGCGTTTTTGCGTGGTTGTGTGTGTGTGTTTCTGTGTTTCTGTGCGCGTGCGTGTGTGTGCGCCCGTGCGTGTGTGTGCGCGCGTGCGTGTGTGCGCGCGTGCGTTTCTGTGTGCGTGTGCGCGCGTGTGTGTGCGCCCGTGCGTGTGTGTGCGCGCGTGCGTGTGTGCGCGCGTGCGTTTCTGTGTGCGTGTGCGCGCGTGTGTGTGCGCCCGTGCGTGTGTGTGCGCGCGTGCGTGTGTGCGCGCGTGCGTTTCTGTGTGCGTGTGCGCGCGTGTGTGTGCGCCCGTGCGTGTGTGTGCGCGCGTGCGTGTGTGCGCGCGTGCGTTTCTGTGTGCGTGTGCGCGCGTGTGTGTGCGCCCGTGCGTG